AACCCCTCCCTCTTGAGATTAACATAAAGAGGAACTTGGCCTTATCTGTAAAAGATTTCACCATTATCCTTTGTTTTGTACTTCCTTGTTTTTCTGTATAAATAAATACTCAGAGAGGCATGGCTCGGTGCCTTCAGTCATGGGAACTGTTGGCCCCCTGTTTTTCACGCTCTCTGCTCTATATCATTCCTGGCTGTTTGTCTCTTTACTATAAATTTATTCTATTCTTTGGGACCCTCGGTCTGCAACAGGAAACTATCCAAAGCTAATCTTCCAGCAGGTTTTCAGAAGCAGTTAAACACACAGGAGAGGACTACCCATCTTTATCCCATGGAGCAGCTGGCGGATTTGAAAAATGCACTTCAAGATTGCAGTGCAGGTTCTTAGCACTAGGCCAAAGAGTCTAACTGTTTCTAGTCATCCAGTCAAGGTACAATATTTAACATAAGCTCAGTGCATCTGAATTTAAAAAAAAAATAGTTCCCACTTAAGAAAAAAAGAAAACAGTGGAGAAAATTTCTTCTGACAAAAAAGCAGCAAGATCAAATGCATTTCAATTTCAAAATAAGTTTTTATAGACTAGCTTAAAAAGACTAATCAGATCCTATCTATTTATAATAAAACAGCAAAAAAATCTGCTGACCGTAAGTCCAAGGAATTGTACTATACCATCAGCATAAATGATTCTATAGAGGATGCACCCCAGGCAAAAGGAACCACAGTTTACCTACCCTGAAAAGAGATTTTCAATCACTGACAAAGCCAGTTGAAAACTAAAAACATGCACAAAATTAATTTAACCAAATATGGCCTACTTTCATAATTTCAGGCAAAACTATGCCCTAATAAAGGGTGAATATTTGGTGCTAACTAAAGCATAAAACTATGTGTAAAGTGTCTAAATAAGAGAAATCTTGAAAGAAAGTTATTATTCCTATCATAATTTGCTAATGTTGAGAATTACTTTTCAAAATATGGTTTTCTTCTTTAAATGACTTCTTAAATATTTATCAATTTTAGTAAAATGTTAACAATACCAGGGGCAAGAATCAAGACAAGTTCTCATAGCTATCTATAAAAACATCTAAGAAATCTGGGGATGTAATGGAAAAAACAAAAGTGAGAACCAGAGAGTACAGGTGCATGCAAGGAATTAAAAATTAATTTGAAAACAAAAATGTTCAGTAAGCTACACTGGTGTGCATGGGCTGGCAAGATGTCACAAGTTAACTTCCAAAGGAAAGGTTAGAAACAAAATTCAAAGGGTTCCCCACCCCCCACAATAAATGCTACCTGACACCTAGTGTGTAGTCTCTACAAATTTTCATTAGGGCAAAGCAGTTTCCAGGTAAGCTATGACATTCATCTGGAGGTCTCCTGACGTCCAAATACAGGTCCTGCCTGGAAGACAACTGTACTCCTAATATATGGGGGGGGGGGGGCTTTAAAATGCATCTTTCTTCTAAGATTGCAAATGTCTTAGCTACATTTAAATTAAGTATCACTACAGAGAGGCATTTTACCTGCTTAAGGAATCGATCAGAAGCGTGGCTGTGCTTGGCCAACACACTTGGCAGAGCAGGATTGGCATATTCAAATTGAGGATTGTAAGAATAGTCAGACTTGAAGAATTTGAATTTTTCTTTCTCTAAGTTGGTGGGCTTTATAGCAGTCAATATACAAAATTTCTTTCCGGAAAAGTCATCTTTTTCAAAACTTCTAGACAGCTGAGGCTGTGGCTTTGGCTTTGGTCCAGTGGAGAAATGAGGCCGCTTGGCCTTGGCCCGGGGTTTAGAAGGCAGCACTATGTTGTTCCCTGCAACAGAGATATCACAGGTAAACTTCACAGGACTTGACACTGAGCTTGAGCCAAAATAAGCAGGCTGCCTCTCCAGGCAGTACCAACTACCACTGCTCATCTCAGACACGGGGACTTTGATCTTGCGTAGATCTTTCCTATGAGAAGAACTAGATCGGATGGGTTTTCTACATTGTCTGTAGTAGGCAGAGGAAGATTGTCTCTGTGAGTGGTGCTTCTTCTCTTCTTTACTCTGGAGAAGGACGTTGTAGCTACTGGTTCCAGTTGTGAAAATGTCCTTCAGTATTCCCGGGGGTAAATGTGGAGTGCTTCTTTTGCTGTCAATGACCAATGAATCTTCTGCCTTTAGAACAGATGTCTTAGCAAGTTCTTGCTCAGGCCAGTGAAGCTTTTCTGTGTTAATAAACAAAATCAAAACAAAAGAAATAACAGAGATACAAGATGAAGCAAACTGCTTATTATCTGAAAAGTTTTCTGAAGGTTCTTTAAATTTTATAGTTTTTCAACAAGCTTTCAAAAAGACATTTTAAATACTAAAAGGGTATTACTAGTATATTTGTACTATTTTCATATCAAACATTGTTATTTCTCTTATTGATGCATGCTCACATGCTAAATTAGCTACAAAATTATCAGCTTCAAATCTTCTAGATGATCACAATTTAATATAGATGTATTCATTTATACTAATAATCTGTGGGCTCATCTCTACCAAAAAGGAGAATTTTGGAAAAATATATAGATTTGTTAATATCAAAGAAAAACTCCAATCAAAGTCAAAACAATCTTGAAATCTGGCACTATATACCAACAGTATATATATATTTCTGTAAAAAAAACCCTATTATCTATCTCAAAACTATTTTTTATATTAAAAAGAAGATATATGTGTGTTTTAGCATATTTTAGCATATCCTCAATAGCAATAATCAACTTATTTTCTTGACAATTTCTCCCACTTGGAAAATAATAAAAACTTTTAGTTACTGTTCCATAGATTTTGTTATAGCACCTGGCAAGCTAAGGAGAGGCCAGATCTACCTTCATATTTAATAAGTACCTCAGGCAGCGCATTACTGCTTATTACAGGAATTCTGAATGCTTCATCTTGAGTGAGTAACAGGTGTACAGGAAAAACAAAGGAACCAGGGTAGCCCAACGGTAAGGAGTTTCATGTTGTCAACCCAAAAGCATATAGCTCTGATTCATCAGATGCTGCACAAGTTAGTCTCTAAAAACCTGCTGATAGGTCAGCTATTGATTAGTTGTGACCAGATAGCCCATAACAACGGAACAGATAAACAATTTCAAAGACTTGAAATGAAATATCTCATTTCCAGAGGATAAATATCACTTGATATATAACTGTTCATACACTTACTCAAAGTTACAGTTATTTGAAATTTACAAATACATAACTCTAAAAAAGCACCTCAAAATTCACTGCCATCACATCTTTCTCCCAGGGAGCAGCTGGTAGATTAGAACAGCCAGTAGATTAGAAAAGCCAAAAGGTGTAACCTTTATGTTAACAACCTGTGAACCATACCACCAGAACTCCCTAATGAATACATGTTGTTGCTGTTGATGGTGACATCAAGTAAATTAAAACTCACAGCAACCCTATGAACAAGAGTTCTGAATCCTATCCTATCCTGTGCCACCTTCATTATCTCTGACACACTTGAGCGCACTGCTGCAGTAACTGTGTCAATCCATCTCGTCGAGGGTCTTCTCTTTCACTGACCACTCCATCCTTCCAAGCACGATGTCCCTTTCCAAGGTATAGCGTCTTCTAAACTGGGATCATGGCTCTAGAAGCACTTGTATAAATGCATTGTAATCAACCAACTTCTAAAATGAGCCTGAAGGAAATGTATTCTATGGATATTTACATAACAACAAAGTCTATTTTTAAATGTGAAAAACGTAAGGTAAAGACCATAATCTGAGGTTAAAGGGTGAGAGCAATGTGAAAAAATATTTTAAGTACAGCTTTAAGTCTATTCATACTCAATCAGAAACTGACAGTATGTGAGTTTATCTTAAGTCCTGCTCATCTGAACAACACCTATATTTGTCACTGAATCTGCCTAGAAATCTTGTAGAAATTCTTCTAGGATATGTGTCACGATTCTCTCAAACAATTCATTTTTCCAAATGAACAGACCTGCTGAGGCCAATGAGCCTCAGTGCACTTTCACCAAAGTGCACAATTTAAAGAAAACCTATTTGCTATACAAATATACAAACCCTTGTGCCTTTAACCTCACCTTTCGGCTCATACTACAGAAGTAGTTTCAAACCTAGATGACTTGGGTAGGAAGGCTCTGGAAATCGGATACATTTTCTCATTTCAATTATCCGAAAATTGTTTATCCATATATACCTGTTACTCATAACTAAATAACAACAATAAAAGCAACTACCATTTGTCAACACATCTATGTTAGTTTGGGATTTCACCAAGATGTATACCTCATCTGAGAAGAATGGGAATCCCAGAACACTTGATCATTCTAATGCGAAACTTATACTTGGACCAGGAGGCAGTCGTCAGAACAGAGCAAGGGAACACTGCATGGTTTAAAATTGGGAAGGGCGTACGCCAGGGATGCATCCTATCTCCATACCTCTTCAACCTATATGCAGAACAGATTATCTGGGAGGCTGGGCTCTATAAGGAGAAATGTGGGGTCAAGATTGGTGGACGATTTATCAACAATCTGCGTTATGCGGATGACACAACCCTGCTTGCTGAAACTGAAGAGGACCTGAAGCGCCTGCTGCAGAGTGTCAAGGACTGCAGCCTACAATATGGATTGAGGCTCAATGTCAAGAAAACAAAGATTCTCACCACTGGACCAATTGGCAGCATCAGGATGGATGGTGAAGAGATTGAGACTGTACACAGCTTTAGCTTGCTTGGCTCCACAGTCAACAGTCTTGGCACCAGCAGCCAGGAAATTAAAAGGCGCATTGCCATGGGAAAGTCTGCTGTCAGGGACCTCTCCAAAGTACTGAAGAGCAATGGTGTCTCTCTGGACACTAAGGTGCATCTGATACAGGCCATGGTCTTCACAATCACTTGTTATGCATCACAGAGTTGAACAATGACCAAGGAGGATAGAAAGAGAATTGATGCTTTTGAGCTGTGGTGCTAGAGAAGAGTATTGAGAATACCATAGACTGCTAGGAAAACAAACAGATTTGTCCTGGAAAGGGTTAAACCGGGTGGCTCTTTGGAGGCAAGGATTCTGAGGCTCCATCCATACTTTGGACATGTTGTGAGGACAGACCAGTCCTTAGAGAGGGACATCATGCTTGGGAGAGTGGAGGGACAGCGCAGGAGACTGGTCCTTAGAGAGGGACATCATGCTTGGGAGGGAGGAGGGACAGCGCAGGAGAGGAAGGCCCGCTATGAGGTGGATTGATTCAGTGACTGGGATAATTGGGATGGGAGTGTCAGAGACAGTGCGAATGACAGAGGACAGAGCGGAGTTTAGGGCTGTTGTACAGAGGGTCGCTATGAGTCGCAAGCGACTCAGTGGCACATAACAACAACAACATACATCATCTACACTTAAACTTTAACAATATTATATGATCAGAAAGCAGTATATGACCATTTGTGTAGGTAGCAACAAATATTCAGTATCATGTCTGCCAAATGCATTGTTAACCTTTCTTCCTCTATTTATGATACAACATTCCAGTAATATAGTGATTCAGATAAGGATAATTCTAAGATAACATTAGGACTATGCTTTAATTAGCTTCATCTTCCCAACATTTAGCACAGTATTTGGCAGGCAGACAATAAAATGTTCATCGAATAGATTAATTAATGAATTATCCTTACAATACCATTCTCAAACCATTCTAGATGAAGAGGTACTTGTAGTTCTTGGAACAGTCTACATATCTATCAGACTATTGCAGAAAGAGAAGAGGCTACACCAGTGGTCCTCAATCACAGGTGGTTTTCTCCAGGGAGGACATCTGGCAAGGTCTGGAGACACACTTTTTTAGTGTCCGTCACACTAAAGGAAGGGGGAGAGGTGTGAGAGCAGAGGTGACAGTGATAATGGCACCTAGCACACAGAAACCCAGGAAGATGCTAAGCGTCCTTCAAGAAACAGGACAGCGCAGCAACAAGAAAAGAGAACTCTGCCTAAATGTTAAATCTCAGAAGCCAAAGGTCTGCTATGAACAAACAGTACCTATCAAAAGTGATGAGAACAATCTAAATACATAAAGGGCTTTAACATGTGTGTTTTTTTAAATTTGTATTTTCTAGACTAACAGATTAAGTCTGAATTCAAGTGTTTAAAAAGAACATTAAAGACAACCTAAAATTCCCAGGGGCTAAATTTTAAAAATGCTAGATAAACTATATGTACACGTTCAGAGGTAGGAGCTAGATTACATATGGTCACGTGGAAAGTGGGCTGCACAGAGACACCATTCAGAAAATGCTAAAGACTCAAGCAGCTAAAAACAAACAGGACAAAGAAACAAAACTCTAATTACAGGCCAGTAGGTTCTGATTCCTCAGGTGCTTTGGACTATGTGTTGCCAAGTGATAGTCAAAACCAGGCACACTGTGCAAACATGAGCAGGTACACCAGGGCAAAGCCAGAACCTAAATTCCCAAGAACAATGTCAGTTTCCCTAAAAATACAGTCCATGTTTAGGAGACAAGAGGTGCTAATGAAAGGAGACTGAAATAGACACTAACCAGGAAAGAGTACAAGAAATGAGACAAAAACAAGGGTAACATAAGCTTACAGAAGAAGCCGGGTAAGGTCTAGGTGCAGGTAAGAAGGGAACAGAAGGAAATCAAATTATTTCAATTTATCTTCATAATAAAAAAGAGTAATATAAATGGAACCACTATATCAAATAAAGGTAAATTACTAAAACTTTTCTGAAAGATTTCTTATTTGATAGTTCAAATATACATGATGTGCTGTTTTAAAAAAAAATAATATTCAATGTAAGTGCTTCCTTTGGTTCTCATGAGTCATGAGTTCTACGAGCAGAGCTGAGCTTATAGAATTGTTCTGTCATAAAGCAGCAATGGAATGACTTCCAAATTCCTAATTTTCCCCCATCTCAAACAACCCAAACACTTGGGGATATTAAAACACAGAAAAAGAGAAAAAGCTTTAAATAATCTGTGAAAGTACTCAATTACTTCACTAGAGCAGATAGGAGAGTGCTGGTGTGCACATGAAAGAAACCCCTTCCACCAGGAGCTCAGGAGCTCACTAGCACTTAGGTTCACTTGCCAATTATCTATCTACCTGGGAAGCTTGGTCAGCACGTCTATTTTAAGCTCCATCTGCTGCATGGGTTTGCCAATGCCATACCTATTTAATAAACACCTA